GGTAAGCCTAAGCTAATTACAAAAGCTCTAAGTATTTTATGCAGGTACGAAGTCTCCGAATTCTTGTTTCAGGAACTGACTTCAATGGGGCCATGGGGCCAGCTACCCCTGCTCTACCTGGGCCTCCGGGAGACCAAGGGCCGCCAGGACCACCTGGTGAAAGAGGGCCCATGGGGCCAGTTGCCGCTGGTCTACCTGGGCCTCCGGGAGACCAAGGGCCGCCAGGACCACCTGGTGAAAGAGGGCCCACGGGGACACCCGGTCCACCTGGACCTCCCAGTCAGGTAAAAAAAAATACTAAATTGACAAACTAGCAAACAGACGCCTCGTTCTACACACTAATCTCCAAGCAGATCATAGGGGTGCAAAAGACACTATCAAATTGTCCAGGCCTATGGTGACAGCTGCCTGGTCCAGGTCATTGACCTTATTTGGAGAAGGAGAAAAGGAAGAAGAAAGAGAGCAAAAACAATATGTTTGTCTTCTGCGAAGGTACACAAAATTACTGTAATTACTTTCATTCACAGCGGCTAGTCTGGACCTTAACACAATCAAACAGCACTGACGCATTCTACTTTGATCATGACAAGTATATATTTATACAGAGGACTAATACTACATACTCTGTGGGTTCGTGTGGCGTAGCGGCAGCTTGCTCGACGCGGGACCAAGAGGTCCCGGGTTCGAGTCCTGGCATGCTACCGAATTGTTTTACCTGTTCACAGCACCGTACGACTTCCCGATATGCATAGGACTCTTTCACGACTTTTTCCAACGTCACATTTATACGTGTCGCCTTTTTTACAGTGTAGCTGCCCAACCCTAGCAGCCCCGACTGCTCCTCCGCAGGTCACAACCCCAGCAGCCCCGACTGCTCCTCCGCAGGTCACAACCCCAGCAGCCCCGACTGCTCCTCCGCAGGTCACAACCCCAGCAGCCCCGACTGCTCCTCCTGCAGGTGAGTTGGAGGGTTCGAATTTCTCACGGTTCTGGTGCTACACGTGCGGGTCTTACAGCGACACAGTCATAGCGTTTCCACCATCGTGCCTGCAAACTATGACACATCCCAGCATTTCATAGACAGATAGCAGTCGTATACAAGCGTTACCGCTCATATTCAATTACCTTATATCATACAAACATTTTGATGCAGTCTAATTCATTCTCGTCCAGTATTTTCGACCTCCATTTCCTCTTATTTCTACGCCCTACTACTTTGTGTCCCCAGATTTACGGACTTGATAGTTTGGTCCTAAATTATCAGAGAATGATATGTTGTGTTACCAATATGCTAATGTTGTTAGACATATAAATAATGGCATCGTGACTCTGCTACTTACCGTTTCCCAGAGGCAGACTGTGCTGCATATAAAGCCGCCGGACACACGACCAGTGGAGTCTACACACTCGGCCCACCCCTGTCCGGTGTAACGGTCTACTGTGACATGGATACTGCAGGTAAAATTGTTTTACGGTACATTGGGATCCGTAATATATATACAGGTCAATAACAGGTGTCTCGTAAATACACCCGTTTAACCTTTAGAACACTACAGATGTATATGAATGGTTTACTAGTATTTGCAAATTGACACTAAACTAAAACAACATTGCAGCCTAATAATACAATGTAAAAAGGCTGATTACGCAGTTTTAGGGAACACACAATTGTACAAAATATCACTAGTATTTACAAGCATAACCAAACTGAATAACAGGAATACTAGTATATACAATCGGTAGTCGGGTGATTACACAGTAGACAACGCACTGTTTAAGAGTTTTTGACAGGTACGGAATGACACTGTTCCTGTTCCTCTGATCTTATAGAAGGTAGGCTAAGCTGGAACCCCCCTTTTGTGTCATTGCGCGTGGGGGGTAGCCAGGGTCGAAACGTTGGTGAACTCAACAAAGATTTTGCAAACTTAAGACACAATGATTCCCTTCTGGCTTTCAGAGTGCAGAGGTTAAAAGTAGAGAGTGCATCAGTATAGGAAGTGTACTTATTTCCAAGAATGATTCTGAGGGCACATTTTAATGCGTTCAAGTTGGTGGGATTGTAGAGTGGTTAGACCTGCGTGCCACACAGGGACTGCATTTTCTATGACTGGTCTGAGGTATAATAAATAAATTTCACAAAGATCTTCAGTGCAGACACAAAAGCGTTTTAGTTTCTTAAGCCAGAGAAGGCGCGAGCTTGCTTTTTTACCTCCATGAAAAATGGAGGTATTGTTTTTGGCGTGTCTGTCTGTATGTCTGTCTGTCTGTGTGTCTGTGTGTGTGTGTGTCTGTCTGTCTGTCTGTGTGTGTTTCCGCAACTTTGTGGTCAGCATAACTTCAGAACGCTTTTATGGATTGCGATGATATTTGGTGTGCTGGTAAGTCTTGGAAAGACAAAGGTCAAGGTCAAATATGGGCCTCCTGGTGGATGACCTTGGTACTGCAGCAGAACTTCCGGTTTTTGTATCTTTTGTCCTGAACAAGCTATGGTCTTGACTTTTTGGTGATAGATAGCTTATCCTGTCAGGAATAAGTGGCGTGAGTTTGGTCCCCCTAGCAGCTTGTTCTGGAACTGCAGGGCACTGTCTGGCGAAATGTTTAAAAGCCAATAAGTCCAGATAGGAACAACGTATTTTCATGATTTTTGGTGTGTAGGTAGCTGAGAGAGAGATGTACATGATTAAATGCAAATTATGCAAATGAGGACTTTATTTGCATAATTAATTAGGAAATTCTATGATTACAGTGTTTTACATTATACTACTTTCATACATGTAATGTATGTAACCTATGGCAGACAGATACTAATTATGCAAATGATGACCTAATTTGCATAATTTATGCAAAAATTCTATGATTTCTTAATGGTGAATAATGGGAATGTCATAATTGGGACATCTGTAAGTTAATCAAAAGTTAGCATACATCACGATGCATATATCATGTTAATGCAGAGGTAATTTGCATAATTAAAGAAATTTACATTTACATATCAAGCCCATATTTCATGGAGGTATGGAGTCTCGGAATTCTTGTTGTTTTTCAACAGGTTGTCGAATAGCAGACTACGTGCGTTATAACGGAGTTTGCTACAAGAGCTTTACGGAGCCACAGACGCACGATGCGGCCAGGCAGACTTGTGCGGCAGACGGGGGGATTTTAGCCATGCCGAGGGACAGTGACACCAATACGTTTCTCGCTAACCTAGCAGAAGTAGTATGGGGTCGCTGGATTGGGCTGACCCGCGCAAACAGCGACGGCGAGTGGGTATTTGAGGACGGCCAGACCCTGACATCATCCGACTATGCCAACTGGCTCCCCGGTGAACCACAACCCGACTACGGTAACGGTGGCTGTGTGGGATTTTGGGAGGCTGGATCCTTCTGGGATGAGAAAGACTGCAGCAACCTCAGGGGATGTATCTGCCAGCTGAATGAAGGTATGCGCCCTCTTCATGACCATTACTTGTAGAGTACTAGAACCCAGTTTAGTCTTATTAGAACTAAACGGTAGTTTGAAGATTCAACAGGTAAGCTTCCCTCATTTTTACCTCCATGAAAAATGGAGGTATTGTTTTTGGTGTGTCTGTCTGTATGTATGTATGTATGTATGTATGTCTGTGTGTGTGTGTCTGTCTGTCTGTCTGTGTGTGTTTCCGCAACTTTGTGGTCAGCATAACTTCAGAACGCCTTTATGGATTATGATGATATTTGGTATGTTGGTAAGTCTTAGGAAGACAAACGTCAAGGTCAAATATGGGCCTCCTGGTGGATGACCTTGGTACTGCAGCATAACTTCCGGTTTTTGTATCTTTTGTCCTGAACATGCTATGGTCTTGATGTTTTGGTGACAGATTGCTTTTCCTGTCAGGTGTAAGTGGTGTGAGTTTGGTCCCCCTAGCAGCTTGTTCTGGAACTGCAGGGCACTTTCTGGCGAAATGTTTAAAAGCCAAAAAGTCCAGATAGGAACAACATATTTTTATAATTTTTGGTGTGTAGGTAGCTGAGAGAGAGATGTACATGATTAAATGCAAATTATGCAAATGAGGACTTTATTTGCATAATTAATGAGGAAATTCTATAATTACAGTGTTTTACATTATACTACTTTCATACATGTAATGTATGTAACCTATTGCAGGCAGAACATCAACAGATACTAATTATGCAAATGATGGTGAATGATGGGAATGTCATACTTGGGACATCTGTAACTTAATCAAAAGTTAACATACATCATGATGCATATATCATGTTAATGCAGAGGTAATTTGCATAATTAAAGAAGAAATTTACATTTACATATTAAGCCCATATTTCATGGAGGTATGATGTCTCGGAATTCTTGTTGATGATTGTATTGACATGTTTTCCCCATTTCATGTCAGCAGAAATCCAATACTTATATATCCTACAAAGTTTGTAGGATATGTAAGTATTGGATTTCTGCTGATATGAAATGGGGAAAACATGTCAATGTAGTAGTACAAAGCAATGGTGAGTTTTTTCCCCACAGGGGGTGGATGGACTGTGATCCAACGACGACAGGACGGGTCGGTTCCCTTCAACCGGACGTGGGCGGACTACAAGTATGGGTTTGGGAACAAGAACGGGGAATACTGGCTTGGGAACGAGAACATCCACCTCCTGACGTCCCATAAGAACTTTCGTTTGCGAATTGAGCTGATGGATTGGAGTGGGCAAACACGCTACGCGGAATACCGCACATTTAGGTTGGTACTCATTCTTCTAGCAGACATCATTGACAAAAACGATTGGAAGTCAGTTGGAAATACCTAAAATACACAGGAAGAAGATAGCAAATTTGAACGCAAATTTAGACATGTGGAATTTAGAGCAAGAGTAGAAATGTTACTACATATAGTATACTAATCCTTCCAAATGCAGCAATTTTGTATTTGGGAAACGTTGCACGCAAGGGCGAAAGATAATGGTCTAATGGATTACAAGGAGTTAAACACTTAGTTACAGATAGACTTACCATAGGTCTGGGATATGCAATACAGATGGGATACTACAAGCTGTACAACCTACTAATTTACACAAGTCAAGTCAAGTCAATCTTTATTGCACAACAATTTTAATGGGTACAATGCATGGCAAACTCTTCAGCACTATCTAGCTAACATCTACTCTTACGTCCACAGTAATACCTACAAGTTCAATGTATCGAAAATAATATTGTGCTATTTCAAAAAGGTAATATAGTACATGTATATATATATGGAACATGGCTTACATGATAATGTATATGTCTTGAGTTCTATATGGCTGTATAAGCTAGAGTGCACATCAGTTGGTTGAGTCGGATATAATATCATTCCTTTTAACTAAAGCTTTGGATATATACTGGCCTATATAGAGGGAAGTTTCGTCGGAACATGACATGAGTAAAGTAAAAGTATCTGAGATTGTTTTGGGTAGTGTTATATGTGCCTTGTTGGTGATCGCGTTACACAGCTACACGCGTGTGCACGTATCGAGTCCTGGGGGTGGGTCACGAACTCCCTGATCAATCGCCACTTCCAAGCTCAACTATATGCTAACAATTCACTGATTGGTCACTCAGGGCCTACCTATCACATTGATATATGCAAATGTCTCTTTCCATATGGTCACCTACCAATCATCATTCATCATAATAACAATGGTCCTGACTGTTACAATTCTGTTGTGTATTAGTTAAAGGTGAACATTTCAATAGATTATGTAACTATGCAGGTTATTTGTATAGTTAGTGATAATGTGTAAAATGACGTTCTGTCAACCGATAGCACTTTGTTTATTTATTTCTGTATCCAGGAAATACATATCTGATGGCGTTTTTAATGGTTCCTGGGGGGAAAAAACAAACAAAATCCATTAACAAAATGAACTCAAGATGAACAAAGGCATCAAATAAAGTTATGCAGATTACAAATTGATACAAAATCAAAGTAAATTAAATAACATAAGAGAAACAATATTGTAACCTTAACATCATATATCGTAGAACCAAGGTAGAACATACATGTGTAATACAATGAAATCAGGATTAAAATCAGGATTGAATTTGCATATCAATTGTCAAGTACATACAGGTGTTTGAAGGCTGTACTTTCACACGTACATGTGAATTTATTGGAGAAGACTACCAAAATACATTAATATTTTCCCTAATCATTAAGACAAAATGACATACCAAAAGCTCTAAATATCTTATAGAGGTATGAAATCTCTAAACGTATTTGTTTAAGAAACAGAATTAGAATCAATGCAGATTGTTGTTCATAAAATAATGAGTGATGTGATGTGATGTTCTCATCCAGGGTGTCCGGTGAGTCCGACCAGTACCGGCTGACCTTATATGGGTTTTCAGGCGACGCGGGAGACTCCATGACAGCTGCCAGCCATAGCCTCGACGGACAAAGGTTCACCACTGTGGACAGGGACAATGATTCCTGGGGCCGCTCCTGTTCTCAGGCTTTCGGACAGGGCGGCTGGTGGTTTGGGGACTGCAGCAACTCCTTCCTCAACGGCCGCTACCTGGGCAACTGTGGAGAGTCCTGTGAAGCCTTTGAAGGGTTGGTGTGGACGACCTGGAAAGGAAAGCATTACTCCCTCAAGTCCGTGTCTATGAAAATCAGGCCACGATAGTCGCATTTTGCTCTTAATACTAAGTCTGATCACGCTCAATTGTTCATGAAACCATCAATCCTACGTGGTCTGTAATGCTGAAAAGTAACGCTCTCTTTTGTAGGGGCTTTGTAACAAAATTAAGTCAAAAGAGTTGATTTCAAATGTTGAATATATCAGAGAGGCAAACATTTCTGTTTAGTTGGGGGCCACAAATAACTGGAGACGTGTTGTTCAGATATAGTTGTTATGGAGCAAAATGTTAAATATGAGTGATGAGAACTAAAATAGCGACCGATTAAAAAAATGGCGGTGGCTTATTTTGATGCTGGGAGCTTCTGATTTAACATATTAAGGATTAATGCATTTTTTTAGGTATTTCTATTGTTCTATTCTATTGTAGAATTTCAGTAACATACTAATGCAACTGTAATGTTGTAGTCATGGATTCCGTATTATATAACACTACAAGTATATTAGCCTCATCACACATGTAACCATAGTCTTCTGTAGAATTAGTCCCTGAGAACTATTGTTACGGTAACCATAGTTACCCAGAAGAAGAAGTTGCCTTACGGTGTATCTTATACAATTGCAAAGTGATAAAATTCAAAAGTTTCTTACCAAAAAATCTTACCAAAATGCCATTTCTTTGTCATCCTTCTGAGCCGAATGTTTTTCTTCCAGAAAGAGAATATGTCTGAGAAAAGTATAAAAATGAATACTTACTGTAAGTTGATTTTCTGTAAGGTTGTGTAACTGTAATGTTGTAGTCAATGGTTTCTTATCAAGGTGTAACGTTATGTACACTTAGCAAAATGACATGGAATAACATCATGATGGAAGAATTAATTTTAATTCTTTATTGTTACACTTGCCTCTTGTCTCTGCCAATGTTTGGCAGTTGTGTGCACATTGTACTGATGTATGTTCGTGTACAATGGAAATTCAGTAGAAGTATAATTATGAAAACAATTTAGGTACAAAAAGCATTGGTGACCATCAAGTACAGTTAGCTGAACCATATATGAAAAATGTAAGACTTTGGTGATGGTGAAAATAAATTCTGCGCTGCTGGTGTTTCAATCCTCTCACTAATGTGGACTTCTTTGTACATTTGTTCACTAAGGCAACACCTACATAAGTTTTTTTCCGAACTTGCTACAGTTTTTTTACTACGTGAAGGAGGTCAGTTAGAGTTGACGAATCGTGAACAGTTGTGTGTTCGCAGCGATTCCTTTGCTGCATGGGGACGTAGTTTGGGACGTTGCCTGTTGGTGTGGTCTAGTTGAGCACGTTGTTTTTTTTTTATACCGTAGCGATTTGCATAGGTCGTAATATTCTAGCATAGTCCCCATTCTGGTGAAATGTTGGTACAGGCTATGTCTTCCGTCGATGTCATGGATGTTTGGTTTTCTCAAGCGGATATCGATCATGTTGGTCGCGGCATGGCGGACCGCCGAAAAATTAGCTATAACGTCTCATACGCCAATTTCGCTGTCCCATAGGCATACACGTTAAATTAGGCCACTATTTTGGCTGTAACTCCAATTAAAAAATCGTATATCAAGAGATTTTTTTGCTTTCTATAGCAAGCACAGGTATCGTGCAAACAATAAAAAAATGTCCCCAATTCTAACCGCTAGTTCGATATTTACGTCACGTATAACTGCAGTTACCCACGATCCACCAGAGGCCCTCTCACGGCTCACAGTACTCAGGTCAAAACAAGCGTACACGTCCCTCAATCGCTCAGATACCAAAACTTCCCTGCCTGATCCTGTCAGTAATAAACAGGCTTTCACCTCAAATCCTTTTTAGATCAGGTCTGAGCGATGAAAGGGAGTTTATGGATTGGTGGACCTAAACTTACGCTGTTGAGGCCCTATCATTTTTGGTAGGCCCTTTTGGAGGCGAATACAGCTAGTCTCCTACTAAACCATGGTTATACGTGTGTGCTGCGTTCGCGGAAGCCACTACCGGGTCGGGCACCAGATCGGGCGGGCCTTCCGAGCGCAGATCGCCGAGTACTTTCGCCGTTACCCCGGCTTCGCCAAGCTCCTGGCAACGCTCCAAACAGACGCTGGAAGAAACGCGTACGAAGGTCAGTGTACGTGCTCTTTGTCGAGTATTTCTGTTCGGTTCATGGGGTTTATTTTTGTCTCAGTGTCATAGGGACTGTTAAAATCCCCTCAGGGGCCTCATGATACTTGTTGTACCACTGGTACAGGTTCAAAGTTCACTGTCTTTGTAAACTTCAAGCAGATGTAGGGATGAGGATGGGGTTATTGATCTACCATTACTATATAAGGACCGTCTGGCCATTGATATACAGTAAACATGTACTAGCGACCACCTCTACATTAGGACCACCTGGCCATTGATACACACTAAACCTGTACTAGTGACCACCTCTACATAAGGACCACCTGGCCTTTTAACTACGTTTCCTCTTCTGTTCCAAACACTAACCTCTGACCTGGCCAATGGCCTGATTTGTTGATTTCTGTCACCATGGTAACTGGTGTTGGGTTACATAATGTTGCAATTTTTAATCAGGAGGGATGTAGACTCCTGTCTGACCATATATATGAATGTGCATGTATTTGAGTAAGAAAAGCAAACCATATGCGAAGGTAAACATTATGCATTGCAAATGTTAACTTTCTAGTTACATTTTTTCATCACGGTTTGATTTGGAATTTTCCAGGCTACTTGAAGGCTGCCAAGTCCGCGTTTCCGCACTATGTTGATGAGATAGTGGGGATGTCGGAAGGGTCTGGCCTCCCGTTCGAACATCTCTTCCTGATGCACTGTCAATCAGAGTTCACACTCATGTCCCTGCAGCAGGAGGAAGTGGAGACCGAGACAGAAGGTATTGTAGCCTATAGGTGCCAGCTTTGTATGTTTACCGAAGGAAAACATACTGTTTTTGCTCAGTTTCTTCCTCTTCTTCTTCCGTTCCAAACCTTACTCACGACTCCCAACCAACCTACACGTTTCCCTATCATTTCCCAGGTTGAGACAGAAGGTACAGTAGCCTTAGGTGCCAGCTTTTTTTATATTTTCTTCGAAGAGGGGAAGCATGTTGTTATTTTTGCTAACTATTGTTATTTAGTTTTCCCGTCTTCGTCTTCTTCAAATAAGTATACAAATAAGGTCAATGACCAGGACCAGATGTCTGTCACCATGGTAACTGGTGTTGGGTTCGATAATGTTGCAAGTGCCATGCAGAACTGAGCTCAAGAGGGGCTGCATGGTCATCATATACATGAGTGTGTTTGATTAAGAACAAAACAGTATTTGTTAAGCTGGGTCAGGTAAGTTAAATATGATGCATTTGCTTAGCAAATAATGCCTTTCTAGTTTATATTACCTTCGCAGAAGAAAAATGTATTGGTTTTGCTCAGCTCAATTGCTCAAATAAAGTCAATGACCTGGACCAGACGTCTGTCACCATGGTAACTGGACTCCTAACCAACCAACACATTTCTCTACCATTTTCCAGGTTGTACAACTGTATATCTTAACGTCCGTAACGGACCTCGGATTCTGGCCCACAACGAAGACGGGGACTCGCTCATCAAAGCCCTGGGTTACGTGGTGGTCGCTAGTATCGAGCCCTACGAGCTGCCAAGCGGAGAGGTTTGTTTATTTGTTTATTTATTTATTTAACCAGAGAACATTGAGCAAGTAAATGAACGTATTCAAGTATTCAAGGGTCATCATTGACAATACACTTTCAACATTTGAACAAGAAACTAGCACAGGTGATTGGAGTAATCAGGCAATTAAAGCATTGCAAGCTACATGTATATACACTAACTTATTCTTACCCCACATACACTACTGTAGTACAGTATGGGACCAGGGAGGGAAGGGTCACATGGACAAACTCCAGAAACTTCCAAATAAACCAGACCGCACAATCCTTGGCTGTGATCGCTACATCGCTACTTAACTCGTACTTAACACACTTGGATGGCTACCAGTGACCGACATACACCGCAAAAACAAAGCAACACTCGTCTATAAAGCTCTCAATGGTATGTCCCCACCGGCAGCGTGCGCGACTCGGAACCAAGAGGTCCCGGGTTCGAGTCCTGACATGCCACCGATCTTGTGCTGTTGGAAAAGACACTTTACACGACTTTCCCCACTAGACTCAAGTGAAAATGAGTACTGTCTGTCCAGTATTTGTTTCTATGTGCGGGACACAACACCAGCAACAGCTGCCTCTGTTCCGCCGCGTGTATTGTACTGTTGCAATTTCAATAAATCAAAATCAAATCAAGTACCTTATTGCACTATTCGCACAGGTTGTCCCCGAAGAAAGCTTCACCGCCTACTGCTACCCCGGGCTGCTGGCTGGGAACGCATATGGCTTCAACCTGCACGGCTTGTGCACCGCCGGCAACTTCCAGCTGGCAAAGTGTGTGGAGAAAGACAAAATACGTACGTACAGTTGAAATGTATGTTTGCATTGTATACACATAGTGGGACTAAACATTGTGAAAATAGGGGCACTATTACATTTTACAGATAGGGGGACTACATTGTACAGATAGGGGGACCAATACTGTAACATCAGACGTACATGTATTTCTGTTACAATATACATGTATATTCTTAACACGTCAATTTACTGTTCTTCATAATAGTATGTATTTCATATTCTTCCACATATTTCACAGAAAGAAGGAATGTGAATGCTTTGAACTTTGTATTCTAACACTGCAGTACTAGCTAACGAAAAATATATGACCATGATCCGTCCTTAGACCAACGTTGTCTACTTTTTTTTTCTATTTTAACATTTATCACAATATCTGGCGACGGTAAGTCTTTCCAACTTATTTTATTCCGCCAACAACGCAGAGGCAGGACAGTACTAATTTTCATCTGGGTTAGGTGAGGAAAGTCGGATAAAGCTCATTTCCCAAGATCGGTGGCATGTCAGGACTCGAACCCGGGGCCTCTTGGTTCTGAGTCGAGCACTCCCACACGACCCCACAGCAATTTCCTTGTGTTTTGCCTCCAGCTCAGCGGTTTGCGTGTCGCGCCCTGCTGTCGGCTGCGTCCGTGGAGAAAGCCGTGGACATCCTCAGGACAGGCTCCGGCGTTGGACTGGCCACTGGATACTCCTACAACCTCGCCGTCAGCACCAAGGACGGGGACAACGCCATGTACTCAGTAGAGGTGGCGCCCGCGGAGGGGGAAGCGAGAAACTTGGTCTCTGTTCACGCCGTCGAGCCGGGAGAGGTCGGATCTGCGAGTAGCTACAATCATTACAATATGTAGGTGTCTGAGTTTTAGGTCTATATGTTTCGCTGGTATAGATATAGCCAAGGTTGCCCAAAGAGAGAGAGAGAGAGACAGAGGGAGAGAGAGGAGGGTGGTGAGCCAGGAGAAGTTGGATCTCCGCGAGTAGCTACTATCTTTACAATATGTAGGTGTCTAATTTTATATGTTTATATGTTTCGGTGGCGAGCCAAGGTTTCCCAAAGAGAGAGAGAGAAAGAGAGAGAGAGGCAGAGAGAGGCAGAGAGAGGCAGAGAGAGGCAGACAGACCTAGGAAGAAAGAGAGAGGGAAAAAAGACAGAAAGAACAATGCATTTGATCTTGTATCTTGTTTTCATTTTCCCAGGTATGAACACCTGGATACCCCCTCCTGGCGAGACCTCAGCTCTGAACACAGGAAAGCCCGGGCTGGCGCAGTCGGACCGCTGTCTAGTAAAGAGGACGTTCTCAAATTCATGGGTAGGATGATAAGGAATATGGGATAAGGGGAACGTGTGTGTGTGTGTGTGTGTGTGTGTGTGTGAGAGAGAGAGAGAGAGAGAGAGAGAGAGAGAGAGGTTTATTCACACGTACCCTTTAAACTACAGATAAAAGCGTTTCCAGTGAAGTTTAAATTCCCCACAAATTTGTTCTGGTAATGGCCTTTTCACTTTGAGTATTATAGTTCAATTTTAGGCCTAAGCAGATAGCTGTTCTCCAAATGCTCCAGACATATTCCGTTGATATCCCGCTACTATGTGATAAATAGCCATTTTAATTGCCACCAGTCGTATATATATTGATTCCTGTGTGTTTGCCCACAGGCGATACTGAGGACCCCGAGTATCCGGTTTACAGGTCCCAGACAGGAAATGACGTCTTCATGACGACAACAACCGGTAAAGCTGAAGAATGTGCATGTTTCAACACCCTAAAGGCGATGCGCATTAAGTTATCAAAGACTGCATTAATACCCAGTTAAGTGTATAACCGGTGCAATGGCCAAATGGGTAGAGTGCATTCGATAGGTCGTAAGTTCAGTCCCCGGCCAAGTAACACCAAAGACTTTAAAAATGGTACATACTACATTATCTGCTTGGCACACAGCATTTGGGAATGGGTATGGAATTTAAACAGACGCCATTACCAGCGATGTACTGCTGTGTGGCCCAAGGGCTACTGAACCAGAGATGGGCGCCGCCCCAAAGCACCAATTGGTGCGGAAAGGACTTGAACTAAAGCCATCTATCATTAATCGGCCGTTAAGTGTATAACTTAAGAAAAATTTACACTTTTAAGGCGTGAAGCTTATCTTGTTATAGCTCTTGCCACTACAGGTGTGTTCGACCTTGAGGCAGGTGTTCTGGAAATCTACACCGACAATCCGGCAAAGGGACAGGAGCCGGGCGTCATCTTCGTTCTTCCGGTGTAGAGAAGAAACTAATCTCCAAGCAGATCTTTCGGTGGCAAGACAGTATCCATTGGCCAGAGGAGTGTCCATTAGCCACGGAAGGTTGGGAAATGGATACAGGATGGCCAATGGATACGGTCTTTTGCCACCCAACCGAAAGATCTGCTTGGAGATTAAGAAAAAACATCTTTATTTGTCCTGGAGTAAACTAGGTCATATCACGTATCTTAAGTAAATACAACGTGGAATTGTGGATATGGAATGCTTCTGCATGTATATCCTTGAAAATTAAACTTTTCCAACCATATAAATTCTATTGTATTATTAATACTACGTTGCCTGAAGACGCTGTTGTGGACTACTGGAATGATGCCAAAAGACAATTGATAAAGCCATTATCATTAAAGGTATGTAAGATAAGTTAACTCGTGTGGTGTTGTATTTTAATGGATACAAAAGTAAACAAGCCTTATATACCTTTTTCTGGTACGTTCTAAATTTTATTTGTACTTTATGGAGAAGTGTAACTGGTGGAAAACACTATGTTATTTTTCGTCAACGTCAGATTTCTAATGATACAGAAAAGAAATAATGCTACTCGATCGACGGAGTTTCAAACTTTCTTTTATGAGCTTGTTTAGTCATGAGCCGTGGAACACAACTTCACCTGTCCCTGACCTTTGTCCTGTAGCTGACCTGTGTGCCTGTCCTTGGCTGCAGAGCTATTCTCCCCCCAACAAAATGGCGCCTCGCGTGCTTCACGTGTCCGGGACAAACCGCCAGGTCGGCCTCCAGGTGGGCAAAGCGACGAAGAAACAGATCCAAGACGTCTTGAGCCGCTACGAACCCTTCAAGGAGGCCATCTCCTCCTTGGAGACACCCGAAGGAAGGCGAGTGTACGAAGGTTGGTATATTTTTTTATTCAAAGAAACAATAACTTGTCTGGCCACAAGACCGCGCTAACAACTGTGATATCACTGCTGGCTATATAACTGTCGTTATTTGTTGTCTCGAATCAATAACTCTCACAATGTTAATAAGTTGACTTGCCTTGTAGTTCTAAGTTTATTCATTTGTTTCTCAAATTGTATTATGTGATTGATGTTTCATGTCTGAAACACCTGTTTCGCCATGCCATCCACAGTGCATATTGTACGTGGTAAAACTTAATAAATAAATAAATAATACAAAGGAAAGAACGACGACAGAGTGGCGGCCTTATATATATTCTAGTCGCCATTTGTACATTGAACATCAAATGTTCGACATGTCACTAAGACAACAATACACATTCCAGTGTTGGTAGCTATTAGAGGTCGGTATTAAAGCCACATCCACATACATGTACCTACGACGTTTTGACGTGTCCCTTGCCACAACTTCACCATGCAACGTATGGCAACGGTTATCTACAAAGGAGTACTGTTGTAAACATTGGTGAGCAAATATGATGACGTTAAGTCCTAGCACTGCCTTTGTGGCAACATTTGTAGGACACTATGCGATCGCACAAACACTTGTATTGCATGATTCACTAAGCTGGGTCCTCAGAGACTATCTAAAGACCAATTTAGTAAATACTAAGCTTTTTCGTTATCATGAAATGTCAAATTGAGTCTTACTTATGGCGTCCATATGGTAGAAAGCAAGTTCGTTGACCTCAGGAGGGTTGTACACAGCGCGTGGACTTTGACCCAACAAGTATAGCTGTTGTTTTATACGGATGGTCTAAAATAGTGCCGAAAATCGTGATAATGTATTGTTATCTATCTATCTATTCATGCATTTTGCTTTTAGAGAATTCTGCATGGCACTGTCCCGGCAAATACAATGCGACAAACAGGGAGCTATTTTAGATAAGGAAATGGTTGATTGGTTGCTTGCCTCCTTGAAGTAGTTGTATACAATATAGTTTAAATTTCCTGATAATAGTCTAGTACTGTTTGGGCTCGGAGAAGTGGAATACACTGCGACAACAATGCATAATATATATATATATATGATGGTATACTCAATGTGCGTTAACTTGTTCACGCACATTGAATATACCATTATATACCATAAAGTGTTCAACTCTTCTTGTTGATTTTACCCACAGGTTACCTAAAGGCGGCGAAGACAGCGTACCCGAACTATGTGGAGGAGTTAGAGGGAATGGCTGAGGGAGCAGACGTGCCGTTTGAACACATGTTCATTGTCAACTACGAGTTCGAGATCCTGCTTCTCAACATGAAGAAAAAGGAAGAAGAAAAGGAAGGACTGAAAGGTCTCCTATTCAGTTTATCATATCTAATTTTTTAAATATACTTAAAGCAAGTAACCCTTGTAAAAGTTGCCATTATACAAAGCTGATACAAACTTTAGATTTCCAAACCGGTGCCTGATTGGTCTTTTGTCAAAAATATTCATAAAAATTGCTCATAACTTATGTTAATTAAACTTTTCTGCGTGTTTTGTTTTCTTTCCTATCATACTTTTTGTTTCTGCAAACTGCCCGACGAGACCCCGGTTTGGAAATGGGACAATTGCCATGCAATGAAGTTCTATCACATTTTGTCTTTGCCGCAAACTGCCCGCCCTGGTTTACAAATGTGACCTCAGCTTATCACCTTCATCGTTCCATGATCTGTTACTCTGGGTGCCAGACTAGTATCGGACCGTTAGCCGTTTTTCTTCGGCGGCCAAGAGCCCTTCGCCCGCATATCTAAATTACCGCTACAGGGGAGTTGAGCCAAGGGGGTGGGGGTGGCCGGCCCTTCAATTAGTTCCAGGGCTAATGGCCCGATACTAGTCTGGCACCCAGGGTAATGATCTGTTCGTTCCACATCACTACAGGTTGCACCACGGTGTTTCTAAACTACCGTGACGGCCCCAGAGTGCTGGCGCACAACGAGGACGGTCCCGCCGGCGAACAGGGCTGCCTCCTGGTGGCCCATGTGGAACCGTACAGCCTACCCGGGGGGAGGACTCTACCAGAGGAAAACTTCGTGTCCTACTGTTACACGTGCCTTCTGCCGGGAGTGGCGTTCTCATTTAACTCTCACGGTCTGTGCATCACATGTAACACGCTGGTATCAAAGGAGGCAGAAGAGAATAAAATCGGTAGGTAATAACAGAAAACATCATTTCTTCATTGTTAAAAAGTAACTACTGCTAGACGTATATGTTTTTGAAAGGATCTTTGTTTCAAAATCTCAGTTAAAATGTTTCAGTAATATGTAAAACAGATAATGCTAGTTTGAAATGAATACCAGGGAGCAGTAGTTATAAAATAAGAGCTGTTCAATACATACAGACACTTGTGACATGTGTAATAGCGTTAGTGGTAACCTCTATCCAGAGACCATCTTACCGTTGACATTGTAGACACTTTTTCCTGGATTTCGTCCCTAGGTTGAACCTCCAATTGTACAATTGTTTCTTGGCTGTCTGGAGGCATGTCAGTTATGTTATTGCTACAGTAAACCAGCCTAAACATAGCCACCATAGCATGCCAAAAACTGGGGGTTTTGAGGGTCTTTAGGGTCTTTGGGAGCTTTTATGTGCCATTTTCTGATTGCATATAGACAACATAGCCGGCCTGGTTGAATTACCCCCGTTTTAGAATTGGGCTAATCAGAAAACAGCCGAAGACCACCAAACCCCCAGTTCTATAAGCCTGCTACGGAGGCTATCTTATGCTGAGGTCACAATTCAAACACGGGGCCCGGCCGGGCAGCTTTTGGGAACGAAAAGGACGATATAAAAGACAACAAAACTCAGAAAAGTTTTTGATAATAATCATGGGCACTATTTCTGTATCTTCTTGATAAAAATTGGTAAGTTTTCGTTCATATATACAGCCCGGCCGGGCCCCGGTGTGGGAATGTGACCTAAGCATAAACAAAGGTCTCTGTTTTCCTCTATCGACCCAGGTCTCTCATTCGCCTGCCGCGCGGTGCTGGCCGCCAGCACGGTTGACGATGCAGTGTCTATGCTGAGGGATGACGGAGTCGGTATGGCCATAGGCTACTCCTTCAACATGGTCAGCACCAGGGACAGCGCCCGCACCATGTCTTCAGTGGAGACATCAGCCGCAGTGGGGCAGCCGACCACTCTGGTGTCTGTGCATACTGTGGAGCCGGAGGACGGGAGTGCAGATGGGCATTACTACCATTATAATCTGTTAGTATAGTGTACTTGAGATTGTAAGAAAGACGACTGCATCATTTTTGCATCGAGTCAGCAAGAAAGGAGACTTTTATCAGGTTTCTCTTTCTTTCTATCTTTCATTCTTTCTTTCCACCTCTGTGTATGTGTGTGTATGTACATGTGTGTGTCTGTTTCTTTCTCTCTCGCTCTCTCTCTCTCTCTAGTTCTCTCTGGCTCATTCTATCTACATGTACATGCAGTTAGCTAGCTAGCTTAAGGTATAGGAATAGGAGTAAGTATGTGGTAGTAGGTAGAGTAATAGGTATAATTATGAGAAATTTACAGAGATAATATAAAGAACTTATTATTTTTCATTAGCACTACACGTTGATTTGGTGTTGAGAATATACTATTTGGTAGCAAAAGCGTCCTTGGAGAAGCTAACAATTTGATTACATGTAGTTCACCATTTTCTCGCCTGACGGCGCTGTTTCATTGTCTTCCGCAGTTACGAACACCTGTCAGTGCAGTTCTATTCATTCCCGCCTGACGGCGCTATTGTTATTGCCTTCCCCAGTTACGAACACCTGTCCGTGCCCGAGTGGCCGCTGAGCCCGAGTTCCCACCACAGGAAGGCGCGAGCCACGGAGATGGCCGCTCCTCAGACCAAGCAGGACGTCCTGGCTGTTCTAGGTAAGGCCCTATCGTGTTCGGAACCGTGCCTGTGCCTGAGTGGGTTAGGATTAGGGCCAGTCTTGGTTCTGGATAGTCTCCGCGTGTCCAAGAACGTAGGCCAAATCAAATATGGCCTTCGGGATACACCCTGCAGGCGGTCACCATGTTTGCGTGAAGTGTCTAATGCAAGGTGATTTTTATATCGTTTTAAACAATTAACGTCTAATGCTAGGATTCTGTCTTCTTCAGGTGACACCAAAGACCCCGAGTACCCGATTTTCCGGTCTGGTACAGGGAAGGACAAGGGATACACACTCAGCACAGGTGACTTTGTTTGTTTGTTTGTATATTTATTATCAGCTTCCTGGCTACAATTGTTGTTAAGTAATAGAAGTTGTCATACAAATATTGTCCATTATATTATATTATATTATATTATATCATATCATATCATATCATATCATATCATATCATATCATATCATATTATATTATATTGCAATAAAGTTATTTATGGTTTTTACATCTGCAGCCGTGTTCGACCTTCAGGAGGGCGTGCTGGAGGTTTACATCGGCAATCCAACTGTCCACACGGAGCCGGCTCTTCAGTTCTACTTGCCTGGTTAAACAAGACGGGCATAAGGATGACAACTTTTGCGCTTTAAGATAAACAAGTTATTGTTAGATAAACGCCTCTTTCAAGTTGCACTACACGTAAGCTAAATGGTGAGACTGTGCCCTAGCCCGAGGCTAAAAGCCAAGAGAGTAAGAGGAACGAGAGTACAAATAATAACGAAATTGTTCACTCACTCACTCACTCACTCACTCACTCACTAACTAACTCACAAGGTCGAGTTTCCCTCGGCCCCAATGACTGCTCTCTATCGAAATGAAATAAAAGTGATCTAAGGCTGTTCAGCTCAAATGAAGTCCATGAACAGTTGAGGTAATCTTCCACTGGTCGTAACAGAATCGATAGACTGAGTATTTAGTACATGTAGTTAAGTATAGGGGAAATATTCGCTTACGAAGTACAATGAACAGTGGTCACGGCTTAACATTCCGTCCTTACGTCGATGAAGGTTAGACATCCAGGTAATACGATACGCCAAAAAGCAGTTACTCAAGCAACTGGATATGATTTTGAAAACGTCAGACGTTTCAGCTAGTATCCACTAGCTTTCGTCAGTGACTGAGAGACCAGAGGGGAAATGCAGGTTTATAAGCACAACCTATTGTTTGATATGCAAATAACGTGAAGACAAATTTTTGGAAGTCGAAAAAGGAATTTCCCCTCTGGTCTCTCAGTCACTGACGAAAGCTAGTGGATACTAGCTGAAACGTCTGACGTTTTCAAAATCATATCCAGTTGCTTGAGTAACTGCTTTTTGGCATCCCGTCCTTAGTTCTGTGACTCTTTCCAGTAACGTGCATATCGCGTACTAGATTCCAATTGCAACTCACTACGCCTTGGTCCGGGGGCAGTGTCGTTAACCACTACGCACGCTATCGTAACCTATAGCCTATTTAGCAACATAAACCCCATTGCTCGTGTAAAGAGATACGCTGACATATACAGGCGTGTCTTCAAAAGGATCCAAGCTGGCAATCAACGATAGCTACCCCTTCCCCCACCCCAAACCATTTGGAAGGTCGCCATGAATGACACATACCGCACCATATAAACATCCCAGAGCTCTGGTACAGTTAATAGGGGGCCTGCATGGGGGGGGGGGTGGACAACGCTCTACGCTAAATTTTGAGAACCGGCTACGTATTACGCTGAATTCGGGAACCCTCGTTAACTTCCGTTAAATTCCAAGTGGCTACAACGCATTACGTAAATTTAAAACGGCGAATACGCTCTACGAGCTCTACGCAAAATGCGACAATTATTACGCTCTACGTTGAATTAGACCGGTCCGTCTACGCTCTGCGTAGAATTAAAACGGCCGATTACGCTCTACGGAAAAGGGCATGCGGGCCCCCTTAATAGACCTTGTGATATAAACCCCGCCAGAGTGCTGGTACAGTTATCAGATGAAAATGGCTGACGGAGAGGAGGAACGAGAGAGAATGGCAGCCATGGCGCGACCCGTGCGGCAGCCCATGGACGCAGGGTTCACGTTTGACATGCTCATGAGCTCCGTAGATCCCGTGCGTAGCTGTCTACTTTCTTTTTTAATACCACACTGACAAAACATTGTCAGGGATGTTTTGTAGTTTGACATTATGTTTCACAGGGTGTTTGCCGCTGTAGCTGTTACAACAGTTTGGAAATAAGACCTCAGTGCCAAGGAAATTCCTGGCAAGAAACCTGATATTGTATCAGTTTTAAAAGTCAGAATAGCAAAATGTAAAAGAAACGTTTCTTTCCTTAGACCATGAACAATGCAAGCATGGAGTGTTACAGGAACAGAATCAATGAATAAGGCTTGGATCAATTAGTAAATCCGTGTACATGTATGCTGTTTGGATTTAGTAATAAATGTGCTCCTAGGATATTGGATATGTTTTTCCCTGCTCGCTGTTTAGCTAACCCTCTAAAATTCCTATCGCACACACGCAAGACTACAGTTTTTCATTGATATATTTCTTTAATTCAGTCATTGCATCTACATGTATTTAATTATTGTAACACATGGTCATGTAGAGTAGAACCTTATATGTGTGACACAGCTATGTTCATCGCATTTACAGATGGCAGAGAGCATGATAGAAAAGTTCATCCGCGAGCGAGAAGCCAAGCTGCAGTACGAACAGAAATTCACCGAGCTTGTGAGCTACGTCGAGCGGGGCCGGGAGGGCTTCAGCGCCGAGGAGTTCGTCCAAAAGCTTCGGGAGGTGGCTGCAAAGGCGGCCGAGGCCGGACACGACGACGCCCCGAGGCATCAACGGAACCTCTCTCGGATCGAGAAACTGTCGGAAAAATCAGCGACTTGGGAGACTGTCAGGCTCATCTTTTACGACACAGAGGAAGACTCGTGAAATTGAACTACTTAATGCATTCATAGGAAATTCAAACTCTACTACTGGATAAATTACGGAGATGATTTCCAGACATTTCGAGTGGCATCCACCACTCTTCTTCAACGTCACTAATGAAGTAACAGAACTCGATAAAGCATATATGAGCAACAGTTACTGAAAAAAAACGGTTGAACATGTCAAAGGTCCATAAAGTCATTGATATGTAAGGTACATGTACATAGGGTAGTTCCTATACTTAATGCATTGTGCAAGACATTTTAGTTTCAGAGACGACACTTCCAGATTGAAAGTAACAGCGAGAATATAGGCGTCACGTCACTAACTATCCGCCCAATGGATCCTGGATCTTTTGGCCGAATGGTTTGGGGCGCTTGCGGCGTGGGTTCGATTCCCGGGGGTCAGAGTCAACCTTCGAGTTACTTCTTCCTCTGTGTTACAGTAATACATGCAGATTGTGGCATATCCACAGAATGCACCGAACCATTTTTTCTGATTTCTGACCAGTTGTAAAAATCTGAATTTCGATAAGTGCTATTCCGTTCTCCTATGGCCAAAATTCTTGGCTTGGCCAAAATACGTCGTTGTACAAGTACACAATTACAAGACTTTCAATATAAATCTACTTTTATAATTTGATTTCCATTCTATTTTTCTTTGTATCTATTACGCTTGGTGGATGGTTACTAGAAGATTCTTCCAACAGTGACAAGTTTGAAGGGTGAAGATACTGACCTCCAAATTTTCGATGACTATCAGTCCATCTTGTTCACTACCAGGCCCATCTCTGACATTATGGAAATTATAGATCAAGAGTCTCGTAACCCACATAGGAAATTAAGGAGGCGGTGCACATATAATTGGACGGTGCCAAGTTGAACCGGTTGGGAGCTCCCCAAGACTTACTTACCCTTACTCCGGAGGCAGACAACAGGGGGTGGGGCCCAGCAGACCGATGCAAGTCTCGGGCCTAGTCTCGCGAGACTCCGTGAGACTCGCGAGATGACTGATAGTCATCGAAAATTTGGAGGTCAATATCTTTACCCTTCAAACTTGTCCCTGTTGGAAGAATCTTCTAGTAACTGTATCTATACGTGACAAATGAATCACTTCAACGCTTGGTGGATGCTTTTCAAACGGACAATTGTGGCGTATACAGCAATACCAAACAGGTTCCGTGCCCCTAGGCCTTGACATTCTTGCCATTAAACCTTGACCTTCACCTCTCACGTACACACTGACGGCCGGTGGCGGGATCTCCCAGTTTTTGAAGCGGATCTTTTTTTTAAAACGTTTTAAAGTCAAAGTCGTGAAATCTTCAGACATGATAGAAAAGGAGTTAACGGAGGTAAGCTGATATTGGGAAAGCCGTTTTTTTTTCAAGTACAACCGCAACTGGTATATTTAACCAGTATTGGGAGAGGGGGGGCGTGGTAAGGTTTACAAAATCATGTGACAATGTTACTAGTATCAAGTAATGATTTGACTACTTGTACTAGTATTTTAAGGAATTAGTAACAGAACGTAATAGATGTGCGTTAAGCCAACTCAAACTGAAGGATTTTACTTAACCAACAGCGGTTGGTTTGTGCTTAATTAAACAATTAAAGCAGTAAATCTCTTCAAAGCTATGCTGAACCCTGATCAACCTCTGCACGACCTTGTTCCCCCTGTACGTGTGAATGCAACAGGGAGACAACACAGGAACAGAAACATGTTCATTTTGCCTAAAGCTAGCTAAGGACTCTACGCTTGAAAAAGTCTTTCTTACATTGTGCAGTAAGACTCTACAATGACAGTGACAATGGCTGATATTTGAAAACCCATGTCTGCTATTTCCTGTTGTAGATTGAAAGGTGTTTGTACATGATTTGTATATAGTGTGTTTCTGCGTACTTGTCCTGTTTTTTTAACCAATTGTAAAATTGAATACATAATTCAGGGTGCATTAGCATTTCCTTCTTTTGTACGATTTTGTTGGATTTAATAAATTGAATTAAATTGAATTAATGATTTCTATCATTAAGAAAGGGGGCGTGTTATATATACTGTTATTATTTTATAACGTAAAATTTGACTATTTTAGAGAATTAGTATTAGAATGTAACGAAAGGTGAAAAAAAACAACTAATGATGGTTGTTATTTTACCAGCAGCAGTTGATTTGTGGTTAATTTAAAAAGTTAATAATTAATTTTCCTCATTAATTAAGTAGGCAATGCCTCCTATGTTTGTGATCATCGTACATTTACTATATTATGTAGTTCCTGTTGCCTAAATGTATAGTCCTGATATCAGTGGTAATTCTATTATGTGTACGTATACACGTACCAAATTGTGCAAACAAATATCACCCCATTTTTATGCGAAACAAACAAATTAAGCTGCATTAGAAAATGTGCAAAGTTCAAACAAGCCTGATGGTGGACCTTAGCACCCAGACGCTGTACCGTTATCCAAACATGTGCCTGATAACCTCAGAAACCTCAGCGCGAAGCCTAGATCCCAGCCGTGTTAGGGGCCTACACACAGCCTTGTACCTGTAAATAGAACAAAGTTTTGTAGTAAATGATTAGGTATTTAAAACTCAAACCGCTGAAGAACATTACATTAGAAACGTTTATTGCAAAAATTCGTGGCCGAAGGCTAACTGCAAATTACAAAACATAAAAGAACAATGAAATAGAGTATAAAAAAAACTAAGGTCTACATAATAAAGGTAGCTGTCTAGAACTATAACTATGTCTAAAACTATGATAAACCAATACCATAGCCCCACCCACCTCTGTCAAAACTTAGAAATACAAAATAAAAACATGTTCATTAATTTTGTAGCATGATAAATGCAAATATTGGACAGCCACTCTCTCATTGGTCAGAATGCCACAAAATTAGCGTAGCTGGGTTTCAGGCTACCAGTGCTAGCAAACACTTGATAATCACATGATATTGTTACTAAATATTTATATAGCCACAAAACTATGTGCAAGACTAAAGTACAAATATAATGTCAAGGTAGCATTGTTTTTAGACCTTCACCCTCTACCTGTAGTTTGGTCTAGGGAATAGCTAGGGGAAATAATAATTGTCAATTTACCAATTAGGAAAAATATGGAAACCTATGATCTGAATTTGTATACGTATCAACCCCGTTTTTATTTTATTTTTTTGTTGAAACTTACAAAAAATGCATAAAAAAGATATAAGACATGTTCAGTTATTATTTTTTTACAAACCAACAAACTGAGATACAAATGCAACAGTGACTTTTCCTAATTAACTATCACAAATATGAAAATGTGTTTAAAATGTGTATTGTGCATGTTCAAAAATTGCTCTGCTGGTTGCAGAGTTGTGGGCAACCTATGCTTTTTTTCCACAAGGGAAATAGTACCTTTTTTTTACTTAGTGGTCGTCACGTAACACGATCATTAGGCCACTGAACCACCTGAATGGTATCACCTGAATTGTATTACCACTCACCTGGGTTACGGGTTACCGGGTAGAACTGTAACAGCAACTCTTCTCCCTGAGTCAGAAACATCATGATTGAGACCAGCCCAATTTCTCACAAATAGTGAGGGCTAACTGACCAAATAATACTAGTGACATTTTCTTAATTTATTTTCCAGTCCTGGTGGACAGCGTTCCGCAGCCCACTGGACATCTATGAGAAGCATGCCAACTTCCTGGTGGCTGAACTGGCTATCTACCCGATGGCAGTGCTCACTTTCATGCACGGTGAGGGGAGTAGCAATCACTTTTTGTTACAGACCCCCAAAGAATCCTCTGAATCCTCTGAAGACCCCCAAACTAGTGCGCGCGGGCGAATACAAAAATTCCGGCCGAACAGAAAAATGCTACTAAACCACAGGAATACAAAGCTGGTATTGTGAATTTGCGGTAGTACTCAGTGACGTACATGTATACAACACGCCGGCACATGCTGGCTTTTTGCGGTATTTATGAATCGGCACTGTACGTATGTACTGAGTTCTTGAGTCGTGGCTTCGGTAGCCTGGGTGCCCGGCTCCGTATTGTCGCTAGCTACCATGGACTACACAGGCCAGAGCGCGCGGATGTCATCCATAAAAATTAAATTAAGGCGGTGTGGCCTAACTTACGATTACAGTTACAGTTACAGATCTTACGGTACCTTAGACCCTCACTCTAAGGAACTAGTTAACTTAGACTCTCACTCTAAGGGACTGTACGATATTGGGCGGAGAAGGGCCGGTCGTCCGGGGGTAGCGTTAACAAATTTTCCTAGACTCTCCCCCCAAGTAAAAAAAAATTTCCTAGGCCCTCCCCCTGGCTCAAAAAATTTTCCTAGACTCTCCCCCCGGCGTGAATCATATAGTAAGTGAAATTTCGTATGGAGAGGGCGGGATTTTCATTGAACCCCCGGGCCCTGTATGAATAGCCGAAGTACTAAAGTAGGCAAAGACAACGGAAGCAAATACTTGCACAAAAGATGTGATGCTGAGAAACTACTAAACTAAGCTACTATACTAAACTAACCTGTGTACTGGAACGGCAGGAAGTAGAGCAGCGAAGAGAGAGATTTTCGGGTGCGTCCCGCTATTAAATAGTACACGCGGAAGGCGGGGCGACGTCTGCATGGCGGAGGCGTGGTCAGGCTTGGGCCAATGAGCACGTCGGCAGAGCGCACTAGCCTGGTTACCAAACCTATTATAGCCCCCGAGTCCTACATCCTCTCCGCAAATTGACCTCAATTAGCCCTGACCAATCAGAGCTCTTGCCTATTCTCCAGGCGGAATATTCAAATCAAAATTCGTTGGGAATCAACTGGGTCCAGACCTATTTGCGGAGAAGATGTAGGACTCGGGAGCTATAATATGTTGCGGAGAGGATGTAGGACTCGGGAGCTATAGTATATTTGGTTTGGTAACCAGGCTATGAGCGCACTGCGCGTCTCATATAAGGTCGTATTTGTGCATGTAAGGAAAACATGTCGTCTGTAGTTTCCAAATGTTATGTCAGAAAAAAATATCCTCTGCAACAGGCAAAATTCTGATACTAGTACAACTTTGACCAAAAACCCATCGAAAACGTGAAAATACAGGGTTCTGCGCAGGCGCAGTACGTTCTACCGACGTGCTTGGCCAATGACGCGTCTGGGTCACGTGCTCTCACCACGTGACCCTAGACCGTCTAACGCAGTGATTGGCCTGTTACATCAATACACGAACTGCACTTGAAATTATATGTTGTTCCAAAGGTTACTGTATTCAGAAATTCAAGTGCTAATCCGACTAGTCGACTGATCACTTCAGCATTATTAATCAACCTACAAATTCAATATTGGTATAGCCTGGTAGCCTCTACCAGGCTTGGGTAGGCGGCTGGAAAGAGTAGACATCGGGGGTGCGGCGAAATGTTCTCTCAACGGACAAACTCCCTGGGCATGCTTATCCCTGTATTTGGCCGATTTCTACTCTTTCCAGTCGCCTACCCAAGCCTGGTAGAGGCTAATAGCCTGGGTGCCAAACCCAAAGCACATTGGACACAAAGTATGTGTCCAGTGTGCTATGGGTTTGGCACCCAGGTCAATATTGGTATGGCTTGACTTGACTTATCTCCAGTGCCAGTTTTTGATGGCTTGATCAAACATGATCATAGAACATATATGTATATATGAATGAAAGTTCTACTGTATATTCCTTAAATAATGTGTTTTCTCCACCCCCACCCCCATCCAAACACACCCAGCTATGCGGAAAGGCGGACGTTACCGTGCCCTGGAATAGCCTCCTATGCAGGTGGTGGGGAAGAGTTTTTAACGCGGCCAGCCATCCTACATAGCCGCCGAGAGAAGGTTCCATTCCGCCCGGCTATATATGTAGAAGGGCCGGCTATATTAAAATAATGCGTTAAAAACTCTTCCCCGCCTCCGCGGGGCCTGCACAGGAGGCTAGTCCTGTGTCTGAGATGATCGCCTACTGGTGATGGTCTCGTAAATAATTACTCTGTTGTACACTTGTGTTGGTAGCTATCTATAGCCTGATACCCAGTCTGATCGTGGTCGGGGCCACAATCAGAAACATACTATCTCTTATAGCGTAACACTCCTACCGGGACGGCCTGATGCACTGGGCGGGGGAAGCTATTAGAGGCCCCGAATGCACAACCTGCCCGAACACCCCAATACCCCCAATTACGTTAGACTGGATACCAGGCTAAGCTATCTAATGATGTTGTTTATATACAGCTATGCGGAGAGGTGGACGTTACCGGAACATGTGGTTCGCGGCGCTGTTCCACGGTCTGGTCTCCGAGATGATCGCGTACTGGGTCGCGGAGATCGACAACTTCTGGCACGCACAGTCCTCCATCATGATGCTGGGCAGGAGGCTGCCGCTTTACATCATGTGCATCTGTGAGTACATAACAGCACTGCATTACATGCTTAAAGTTAAAACTTTTGATCCAACAGAAAGAAATCTCTCACCAAGAGCTTTCAACCAGTCACTCTGGTCTTCCTCAGAAGACTGACCCAGTGAAGCTTGTCACGTGTGACGTCAACAACCGCGACGGGGGCCGACATTGTCTACCAGGTACCTTTGACCCAGTGTTGACGTCACACTTAACGCTATATGATGCTGTAACGTTACAAACCACATGTTTCATGTTGAAAAGAACACAAAAACTTCATTCTCTATTTGTTGTCAGATTCGACCCACGTACAGTAATTTAATTAATGTTGAGCACAAAATGCCCCGACACCTCAAAACACAATGAAAAGCAAGTTGTTTAACGTCACCAGGATCATTCCGATGCCTTCCTGTCCTATGCAAATGAGGGTTGGCCCCTGTTTTCGCAAAGCATTCTGGGGATGGGAAACTGGTGAATTAATTTTATTATTCCAGACCCGGTGATCCACTACGTCTCGACGGTTGCTGCCAGTCGGCTGAAGCTCGGAATCTTCCCCACAGCGTACGCGGCCGGGCTGGCGGACTGCGTGTTCTACCACGTGTTCGACATCGTCGGGATCAAACTGCTCTGGTGGACCTGGCATGACACGGATCCAAACGTCTACGAACGGCACTTTTGGGTATTTATTTATTTATTATCTTGTGTGTGTGTGCGCGCGCGCGCGTGTGTGTGTGTGTGTGTTTGTGTGTGTGTTTGTGTGTGTGTGTGTGTGTGTGTGTGTGTGTGTGTGTGTTTCCGCACATTTGTAGTCAGCATAACTTCAGAACGCCTTAAGTTTATGGATTGTGATGATATTTGGTATGCTGGTAGGTCTTAGGAAGCCGACCTGACCTTGGTGGCTGATCTTTTTTTCCTCTAAATGTGTAAAAGTAAGGGTAGAATTTGGTGAGTCAATTTGAAGTCTAAAAATACTTACTAGCTGTCTCTACGTTTGCAGGCCCCCTATGCCAATACTCTGTTCCGGCTGACTTTCTCCTCTGCCTTCACTCTTCTGTTCTTCGGGACCCACAAGTGGATCACAGGAAAAAACATGTTCCAGACTGGGAGGTGGGTATGATGTTTTTATCTGTCTGCTTTGTTTCTACTTTTAAGCATAGAAAATCAGTGTAAAGCCTGTCACACATAGCTGACTACCTTCCACTGCCTGTTACGTCCCCAACCAAAGTTAGTGGTAGGTTCAAATTTCTACTTTTGTTTCTACTTTTAAGCATAGAAGATCAGTGTAAAGCCGTCACACACAGCCATCCACATTCAACCCCCTTTTACCTCCCTAACTGAAGTCAGGTTCCCCATTTTCGGTAGAGTGAGGAAAATGATATCACGAAAGTTCATCTGTGGTGGTAGTTAAATGTTAAAAGTTAAAACTTTTGGTCCAACACAAAAATTCTCTCACCTAGAGCTTTCGACCAGTCACTCTGGTCTTCCTCAGTAGACATACCCAGTAAAGCTTGTCACGTGGCTTCTTTGAAGTGTGACGTCAACACTAGGTCAAAGGTATCGTGTAGACGATGTCGGCCCCCGTCGCGGTTCAATGAAGGGTGATGGGCCCTGATGTATATGACTTCCTTCACCCCTCTCAAGAAATAGTTGTAGACTATTATTAAGGGTCAAACAAACAAACAAACAAACACACTTACTCTAAACTGTGTCTGTGTTATTTTACCAGTTTCCTTCAGGAGGCCGCTGCCGTCCTTCTGACGGCCGTCCTGACGTTCCCGACGGCCATCGCGACGCACTTCATCCCGCTGTACCACAGCCTGCACGACGCGCTGGGCGCCAGCTCCGAGGTCTGCGTGCTCGCCGTCATCTACCTCTACATCCTCATCGTGTGGGTGTCGGACAGGAACGGGCCGCAGGAAGGCAGGCCTAGGGGGAAAGGTGAGGACACACAAACAAACAAACATACACACACTTACTCTAATCCTACCTGTGCATCCTCATCGTGTGGGTGTCGGACAGGAACGGGCCGGAGGACGGCAGGCCTAGGAGGGAAGGTGAGGACACACAAATACGTACACACACACACACACACACACACACACACACACACACACACACACACATACACACACACACACTCTAGCTTCTATGAGGTTTCTAGTTGTTGTTTTCTGTCTACATTCTCGTCATTTCTTCTGGCATTTTTCTGAAATTAATACAAAAGGAAACCTGTTGGAAATGTTCTCCTGTTAATCTAAACATTTATTTTTAGTTTAGTCTATATTTCACAGGTAGCCACCCCTGGAAGGACGAGCTAACTCTGGTGGTTCTGATCCACTTCCTGACTTTCGCCGGACTTGCCGTTTTTGCTAACCCTGAGACGGTTATGTCTACCGGGGTCCACGAACCCCTCGGACCCTGCAACGAGACAATGCAGATGTACAACGCCATCGGACAGGTTTGTAGTTAGCCTGGTATCCAGTCTAATTCGTGGTCGGGGCCGCAAGAGCTCTGTCCCGCCCGCCTCATATAGGTTTTCCGGTGTGTATTTCACGAGAGATTGATTAGCCCTCGTTCGTGTTGGGGGGAAACCAAACCCCCAAGCATACTGTCTCTTATTAGCGTAACACTCCTACCGGGACGGCCTGTTGCACTGGGCGGGGGAAGCTATTAGAGCCCCCGAAGGCACAACCTGCCTGAACACCCCAATACCCCCAATCACGTAAGACTGGATACCAGTCTAGTCTGTAGTCAACACGAGTCCCCATCCATTCAGCCTCTTCATACTCAGATTAGAGTTAAAAAGCTGACAACTACCAATGTTGAATTGCTGGGTCTGGTTGAAATGGAAAGCAATTTGCCCTGGCTGATTTGAATTAATTTGATTTGATTTGGCATATATCTCATATTAATTCAAAAAGAAATGTTTTCATCATTTATAGCTTGTATCGAAGAGGAAGTACCTGTGTCCGAGCGACTATGACGAAGGCTACATGGATTTCCACTGTGTTCCCGGTGGGAAAGCGCCCCCTGGCGTGCACCACTGGTACAGCGTGTGCGGAACGCCCCATGAGAACCACGCGGAGCACATTACTGTGGTGTGGGGCTTCTGTCTGCTGGGCCTCACCTACTA